CCCAAGGTGTCTTTGTCCTGAAGCCTAGTGCAGGAACAATGATTGCTGTGAACACCTCTCAGAGAAAGCTGCCCTCTTATTCCAGCTCGATGCCAGAAAGTGCTGTTTCTTTCTGTATGAGTCTGGGTCCCCAGAGTCTCTCCTGGAACTTGAGTTCAGAGCAATTGGGAGCTTGTATCTCCCTCTCAATAGAAAAAAAAAAAGAAGCAGCGCACCCAGTTTTGAGCCCATTTCATGTGCGTCTCCGCACCTCCACACCTCCTACCAGTCTCAGTGTGCTTTTTTTCTTTCCTTCTATTTGTAGAACTTCCACTCAGCTAGCTTTCCTGTGGTTCTGGATGATATTTATTTTGTCTCTTAGTTGTAGTTTTTATGTGGTTGTGAGAGGCAGCAAGTACAGGTGTTTACCTATGCTGCCATCTTGGTTGTTCTGGTCTGTGTATTTTCAATTGTTTTAAGATATAGCAAAAAAAAAAAAAATCAATAAAATATATTAAAAAATAAATAAAATAAAAAAGCAAAAAAAAAATAATTTTATTGTTTTTACTTTAATATTTTTCTACAACTGGGCCTTTGTTATTTTTGAACTACTTCTTAGCTATTGTCCTTTGTCTAGTTTCAAGTATTTTTATTAGGGTTTTCACTGCAATTGCATAAAATTTGTGTGTTAATATGAGGAGATTTGACCTTTATATAGTATTATGTATTTTCATACAGGAATATGATATACCTTCTATTTATTCCAGTCATTCAATTTTATAGGTTCTTTACAATTTTATTTATGGATGTTTTAAATATTAGCTCTTTTAAATATTAAACTTTTTTTCTGCAATAAATGTGTAAATGTAATCACCTATTATAACATGATAATTTTATATTTTGCATGCTTTGTAAGCAACCATATTATTGGTTCTAATGCCCTTTACTTGGCCTTCTTAAGTTTTTCAGGTAATGGATTTTTCAAATTATTTTCTGTTCCTTCCTAACTTTTTTGTTGTTGTTGTTGTTTTTGTTTTTTTGTTTCTTTCTCTTATTACCTTGCATTGGAATTTTCAGTCTCAATTGAACAATAATAAGCCATCTTGCCTTGATTCTTCTTTAATAGCTATATCTCCCTTTTTTCTATTTTATTGTGATGACATTTTAGAAGAATCAACTTTATTATTAAGAACCCTTTACTCAGTTGTTTTTAAAAAGAATCATAATTAATGTTAAACTTTATTAAATACCTTTTTAGCATCAAATGAAGAAGATGTGTGAGATTTCAATGTGATGAGTAGCCTCAAATATTCTTACATTCCTAGAGTTTTCTACTTGTTCTTTGTGTCTTTTTCTTTTATTTCATAGTTTTTGAGTATTTCAATTAATATTCAAAAATTGCTCTTTAATTATCTATATTTTCTGGTTTAATACCAGGCTTATGATAGGTTGCTAAAATGTTTTATTTCTCAGATTAATTGTAAAATCTTAGTAATTATCTGTACTTAAAAGCATGTCAGAGAATGATGGTAAACTTTTTGAAGCTTTGATACTTTTTTGAGACAATGCTTTAAAAAAAAAACCTTTTTCTTCCATAGCTGCTAAGAATTGTTAGTACATTTTTTGTCATTTCTTCAGTCACTTTTTTTGGATGGTGAAATTTGCCTTCTCTTATCTATGTCCATCCTCTTATTTATTTTTCATGAATTCATTAATTTTTTTTTCTCTCTCAAAAAGATTTATGGAAGTAATTTGTAAAGTTTATATTGTTATTTAGGAATGTTTGAACATATTTAAGCACATTTTTCTTGATACCCTTCTGCATTTCTATATTTATTTTAAAATACTTAGACATAACTCTAAACTTTAATAGTATTGTTTATACTTTCTATTTTGAGTGCTTATATTGGTTTACTGTATTTTACGGCATATAAGACAACTTTTGAAATGAAAAAAAGTCAACCAAAAATCGGGGGTCATCTTATACGCCGAGTATATCCCGAAAAACGTCTCAATATGCTGCTAAACGAATTTTCTAACTCGATCCCGAAAATCGTCTGGATATGCCGCTAAACGAATTTTCCAACTCGATCCCGCACCAGTCACTGCAAGGCTGCTCGGACTGCCTCTTTAACTCAGCCAATCCAAGCAGGCTTTTTATGCATGCAAATTATACATGTGCTGTACCCGAAGCTACACTGTGTTCTAGTAAAAAGCCTGCTCAGATTGGCCAGAGTCAGAGAGGCGGTCTATTATAACCTTTGAACCTTTGCTTGTTGTGATTGGCTCACTGTGGTACATACAGTTGCAGCACAGGAATGTTCTGTGTAGCCAAAGCTGCTGTATCAGGACACATATAGTGAGTTAAAAGGTACCATAATAGAACATTCTGTGTGTAGCTGAAGCTACAGTACTGTATAACCCCGGCCTAAAAGATTAGTGGGTGTACAACAAATGGCTGGTAGAAAAGAACCCATCATGGCTCCAGCAAGAAGAAGGAAATTTGAAGCCAGTTTCAAACTGAAAGTTGTAAACTTTGCCAAGGAACACAATAACTGCTGCGGCAAGACAATATGGAATAACAGAAACGATGGTCCGAGACTGGAAAGCAAATGAAGATGCATTAAAGAGCATGCCAAGGAGTAAGTGTGCATTAAGAAGAGGCACCCCTTATTGGCCAGAACTCGAAAAGCATGAAGCAGACATGGTTCTTGAGCATCGTCAAAATGGTTATGTAGTGACAGGAAACAAAATACGTATGTTTGCACTTCAGTGGGCCAAATCTCACCCAGATAACAGCAAAGGATTTAAGGCCACTGTATCCTGGAGTACTAGGTTCTTGGAAAGGAACAATCTGGTACTGAGGCAAAAGACCAAAATTGCACAAAAATTACCTGCAGATCTTGACGGCAAAGTAAGTCTTTCCCATCAATATGTAATACAACAGCGCAAGAAACATGGCTGTGCATTAAGTCAGATCGGAAATATGGATGAAACTCCTATGAATTTCAATATGGTTGGAAATAAAACTGTTAATCCATAAGGTGCAAAAACAGTGTTAATTAAAACAACAGGACATGAGAAGTCCAGTTTTACAGTGGTACTAGCATGTACAGCTGCTGGTGCCAAACTAAGACCAATGATTATTTTTAAAAGAAAAACAATGCTGAAAATCAAGTTCCCTGTTGGAGTTTTTGTACATGTGAATGAAAAAGGATGGATGGATGAAGAAGGGGTAAAGCTATGGCTTGATAATGTATGGAGTAGGCGACCAGGTGGACTTCGTCAAGAACGTAGCCTACTGGTGTGGGACATGTTCAGGGCTCATTTAACTACCAGCACAAAGAACAGGCTGGCAAGAATAAACACAGATGCGGCAGTTATTCCTGGAGGATTGACATCATTGGTACAGCCACTGGATGTGTGCCTAAACAAGCCATTTAAAGATCGCATTAGAGAACAGTGGAATGAGTGGATGGTTAGCTGCGAAAAGTTATTCACAAAAGGAGGAAACATGCGTGCGCCACAATTGGATAGTTTGTGTAACTTGGTCATAAAAGCCTGGAATGATATTACTGAAGAAACAGTAATCGGGTCTTTCAAGAAGTGTGGCATATCAAATTCTTTGGACGGTATGGAGGATGACTTCTTGTGGCAAGATGAGGGGGAAGCCGAAGCTGAAGCCACACCATCTGATTCGGAATTTGATCCATATGATGACTGTCCTACAAATGTATCACAAGAGGTCATGATGATCTTATGATGTCAGAAGAAGAACATGATGAGGATTTTGAAGGATTTTAAGCTTACAATGCTCTTCTGCCTAGAAAAACCTCTTATCATCCCAGTCAGTCACAAACAAGTGTTTTCTGCAAGTTCTTCATGTAATTTTCTTTCCAGATGATGCCATCATTGTTAATGTTCTCTTTTGGATTTCTTGTTTCTTGGTCAAGTTCATGGCATTGCCATTTGTGAAGAGACCTTCCATTTATCGTATCAATGTATGGTATATTACGGTATGTTCGAAAAATGTCATTCATTAAAAATTTAATTTAAAAAAGAACTGGTGTTGCCTCGGAAGTGGGGGATAGTCTTATACAGCAAATATAGGCCTAAACCTATGTTTTAACTGTAAAATTGGGGGGGTCGTCTTATATGCCGGAAAATACGGTACTTTCTAATTTGATTTTGTGGGTTTTTGTTTGTTTGTTTGTTTTAGTCAGGATGCTTATGTAAGATATAAACCCTCCAAGGACTATGTTATATTTCAATATAGCTGTCAATGATCAGTATTTTATTTGACTTTAGTATTTATGAGTATCAGTTTGATTTCTCTTAAAATTACTTAGATTTTGTCTATTGCTTTTAGGAAGGAAATTAGTATTATAAGGAAGAAGTTTAATGTAATTTTATTTTAACTTTCACTTGTGGCATTGATTTTTCTTCATCTGTGAAATGGGAAAATTTATTTTACTTTTTTGTTTGTTTTCTAAATTAGTGTTTTCTGTCAATTGGTGTATCTTGTTTTTTATAAAGATTTTTGATAGAGGGGACCTTCAAAGGAAGATATTTTGGTATTATATGTGGTTGAACATATCCTACATGAATTAGTTATATATTGCTGAGTAACAAATTACTCTAAAACTTAGTAGCTTTATAAGGACATAGATTTATTATCTTTGGCCTGGAATCAAATCATGGCTTAGCTAGATTCCTTGCTTCAGAGTCTTATGAGAATGCAGTCAAGGTGTCAACTAAGGATGGGATCTCATCTGAAGACTTGACTGGGGAAGGATCTGCTTCCAAATTTACTCTTGGCCTAACCTAGTGTTTTTTCCAATGCAACATATATCGTTGGGTATTGATTTAAAAGTCACTTTTTAAGTCTTACATCCAGCCTCAAGAACATGTGTGTGAGTGTGTGAGGGGAAGAAAGGAGGGAGAGTAAAAAAAGGGGAAGAAGATTTTAATATAATATATTTTTATTTTAAGAACTATACCTTTTTTTTTCTCTTCTATAGGTGCTTTAGCTGGACCAATTATTGTGGAGCCACATGTCACAGCAGTATGGGGAAAGAATGTTTCATTGAAGTGTTTAATTGAAGTAAATGAAACTATAACCCAAATTTCATGGGAAAAGGTACATGGCAAAGGTTCACAGACTGTTGCAGTTCATCATCCTCAATATGGATTCTCTGTTCAAGGAGAGTATCAGGGAAGAGTCTTGTTTAAAAACTATTCACTTAATGATGCAACAATTACTCTACATAACATAGGATTTTCTGATTCTGGAAAATACATATGCAAAGCTGTTACATTCCCACTTGGAAATGCTCAATCCTCTACAACCGTAACTGTATTAGGTAGGTATGCTTGAATTATGTGTTTTAGTGGTAGTTGTGAAGATTATACTAAAAATATTTTAAAGAACTTAAAATTATTGAACTTTATAAGTTTAGGTGTAAAATAAAAGAATTCAAATATGGTTTTTCAAGTTCTGTATCAAAATCCTTTGATTCTAAGTTCTTAAGTTAAACAAAATCTCATCTCTACCTACCTATGTAATTGTATGTAGGTCTTAACTAGTTTACTTTTTTCATGAGATTATTTTACATACTTTCAAAATATAATTTTTATTGATTTTAGAGAGGAAGGGAGAGAAAAAGAGAGATAGAAATATCAACAATGAGAGAGACTCATTGACCAACTGATGCCTGCATGTCCCCACTGTGGTTCTAGGCCGCAACCAGGATATCAAAGGTCGACACTCAACCACTGAGCCACACTAGCTGGGTGTGCCATACTTTTTAAGAAATAGGTTTTTATTGCCCTAACTGGTTTGGCTCAGTGGATAGAGCATCAGCCTGAGGACAAAAGGGTCCCGAGTTTGATTCCAGTCAAGGTCACATGCCAGGTTGCAGACTTGATCCCCAGTAGAGGTCATGCAGGAGGCAGCCTATAAATTATTCTCTCTTATCATTGATGTTTCTATCTCTCTCTCCCTCTCCCTTCCTCTCTGAAATCAATATATATAATGTTTTTATTAATTTGAGAGAGAGAGAAGGAAGAGAAATAAACATCAGTGTGAGAGAGAAACATTGATGAGTTTCCTACTGTAAGCATTCCAACTGGGGACCAAATCTGTAACTGAGGCATGTTACTGACTGAATCATACAGATGATCTTTTGGTGCATGGGATGAGGCTCAACCAATTGAGCCACAGCAGTCAGGGCTCTTTGCCATACTTTCTGTCAAATTTTCACCTTGTAATTAAATTAAAACCTTTAAATAGCTTTTCAATTTTTTAAAATGACTTTCTTCTTGGAGCCATTGACACCTCAGGTTTGTTTCAAATAAAATTTTATTTCTGCTATCATGGATTTGCATAGCTATTTGCATCCTGGGCTGTTGTTCCTAATGAAAGATCTTTTCTGTCTGATAACTTTTAAAGTTTATTGTGTAATTTAGAATGAGCTAATGTATTAGCATTAAGATAGCCACTTGCAGTGAAAGATAAAACAATTTGGAAATGCTGGTGAGTACTTTTGAATAATAGAATAAGAATTAAGGAGTTATAGTACCTTAGACATTTATACCCAAAGTGGGACTCTTTTAATGGGCAGTCTTTGATCCAGATTTGTCAGGGATTTTGTCAGGTCTGCTGATAGCTCTCCCTACTCCATCCTTTTTCTTCATTTTCTCCCAGATGTTACTCTCCAATAAGCCTTTAGTAGTCCTTACTTGGTTTCAGTGTCTGCTTTCAGAGAATCAAATAAGTACACAGCACCTAACATTTAATGCAGTAACTTTAGGATCTCTTGAATGCAGGAAAACAATTTTGTTATATATATTTGCATTGAGAGATAGTATGCAAAAATAGAAGTAAAATAAAATTTTTGAGGAATTTATATGTTTAAGGCACTATTCTATGAGTTGTGAGGAAATATAATTTACATTCATGAAAATTGCTATTTTTGAGAAATATTTTGATTGGAAGGCAAGGCATAAATATCTGAAAAATCAAGTACAGGCCATTAGGGTAAAAAAATTCAGTATCTAAGAACATAATAAATATTTTGTGTATGGAAGAGAGATCTAGTGGGAATGATTTATTTTTGCTTTAAATTTTAGGAATTTCTCCTAAATTAATGCAGTACTCAGTGCTTTAAAACTCAAGACTGTTTACAGTATAAGACTAATCATAATTTTACCCATGCTTCTTTAACTTAATCTATTTCATTCATTTCTGTTCCTCTCACAGAACTCAAATTTTATAATCCTAGTAAACTACTTGTAGTTCTTTTAACACCTGTTCACATTTTTTATGTTTGTCCTTATGCCTGGATTGCCTTGTTTTTCTGTCTATCTCTCTCTTCCTACATTCTTTTATTTAACCACTGTCCATCAAAACACATTCTTTTGGAAGCCATTCTTGAAGATCTACTCCCTCCGCAATTTGATGATTTTTATTCTTTTGCCATTGTATCTCGAGCATGACTATATTGTAGCAGTTACCATACTGTTCATTATTTTTCCCTCACTGTAAACATGTGGGCCACACCTTTACATTTTAAAATCTAACATGATATCCCTCAAGCTTGTAACAATCCCTAGTTAATAGCAGTCTCATACATTAATTTTATTTAAGAAGGATATAGGAATTGGCTGATGAACTTGTCAGTTTAGAAATGTTTTGTATACACAATAGTTGCTTGTTCTTGAGTGGTGGGTAGGTTTGGGGTAGGCAAAAAAGGAAAGAAGTATAGGGAATGAACTAACAGAGGCAGGCAGAAAACAATGCACATTAGGGCAGAATTTCTTTAAAGTCAGCATTGTTGAAATTTGGGCCTGGAATTTGTTGGGTTGTGCTATCCTATTCATTGTAGATCAGTTAGCAGTGTTCATGGCATTTAACCGCTAGATGCTACCCTGTTTCCCCTAAAATAAGACAGTGTCTTATATTAATTTTTGCTCCCAAAGATGTGCTAGGTCTTATGTTCAGGGGATGTCTTATTTTTGCACGAAGAAGAATATGGTACACATTTATTGTTAAATGAAAATAAAGGGAATTTATTACCTGTATACGGTACGGTAGTACGGTAGTTGTCAACACAAATCAGACAAACTGTGAATCCTACAGTATCAAGAATTTACTCATTTATTCAATGACAATCATGTCATCATCTTCTGGGACATCATCATAACAATCCAATTCCTGAATTTTCTGGTGAATTTCTTGTGACTCCATTTCTTTCAGAATCAGTGGACCAAATCTCTCATGGTTAGGCTAGGGGGGGCTTATTTTTGGGGGATGCCTTATATTTCATTCAGAAGGAAACCTGTAAGTAGGTCTTATTTTCGGAGGATGTCTTAATTTGGGGGAAACACGGTAGTATGTAGCAGTTCCTCATTTATGATAACTTAGAATATCATCAGACATTGCCAAGTGTCTTTTGGAGAGAATGGGTGAGTGGGGGAATACTCACTGTTGAGAACCCTCATTAGTGGAAACATTGAATAATTTGTTGATTGTTCAAAGAATTAAAGTCTAGAAAGGTAGAGTAGGACCACATTAAAGTAATTTGAATGTTAGGATGGGGAATTTGACCTGTATATTACTAGAAATTTGAACTTATTGTGCAATGTTGTGCTGCTTCTCAGCTCCATTGTGTTCTCAGGCTCTTGCTGTTTTAAAGTGTCGTTCATGAATTAACAGCGTTGATATCACTTTGGAGCTTGTTAAAATACAGGATTTCAGATACATATCGAACTTATTGAGTGAAAAATCTACATTTTATCAGAATCCTTAAATGATTTGGTGCACAGTAAAGTTTGAGAAACACTGCTCTGACCACCTTCTCATCTTGCTTAGAGGATTAACTAACTTAGACCTGATTTAGGTAGTAATGTGATAAAAGTTGTGATTCAGATGATCAGCCTGGTGTTTTTTATTAATTAAAATGAAGAAGTCCTGAAATTATAATGTCTCAGCCATGAGGTTGTGAGGGCTTGAAATTCATTTACTAATTTCTGCCACTTGACTGAAGAAGGGAGCTATTATAAAGGAAAAACTAGCAGATCTTTGTAACTGGCTGAAAATAAGAAATAAGGATGTTTGAACAATAACATTTCTTGAACCTTGGTGATTGAGTAAATTATGTTACCATTAATTTAAATGGGCATTTCTTTGAAAAACAGGTGTTAGCAATTTGTAGCAAAATGATAGATAGTTCAACATTTGTGGGTTGTTTTTTTGTGAGTTTTTTTTTTTTTTTTTTTGAGTTCTAAAATATATAGGCAAATTACAGAATTTCAGATACATATCAAACTTATTGAGTGGCAAATGGTTAGGAAATGTAGAGTCAAGCCTTATTGGAGGAAATTAGGGATCATCTGGGTAAGTAGTGTTTATCAGATAAAAATTTTTAAGGGAGATATAAAACATGATTGAAGGCCTTTGATAGAAAGTGTTTAACATTAAGGTTACTTATACCAGGGGAAAAAAATAGATGGCAGGCATGCACATTCCATTAAATAAGTATTAGTGATATTCTGTTTTAATAGTGTCATTCTATACTTACATTTTTATTTTTAAATATACTTTATATATTTTTGCTGCACAAATGAATCATTAAATATTAGAACTACCTTTTTTTCTTTTCAGAGTAATAATACCTGTAATTTCATAGTGAATATTATGGTTCATTTCACAGTAATTTTTTGGATATGTTAATTTTGAGAAGGACTCATCTGTCACTAGGAAAGCCATCGTTGTAATATTTATATAAGATCTTGGCTTCTTATTTGTCCTGGCTCATGATCATCTCTTTTTCTAAGACTTACCATAAAAGTGTGTGCCTATACTTTATATGTAGTTACTCCTAAATTTATGAAATATGTCTACATGTGGGTTGGAAGGATATAAAATATATTCTTAATTGACATGTAACTTCTTTTTTTTTTTTAATTTGAATAGTTGAACCCACTGTGAGCTTGATAAAAGGGCCAGATTCTTTAATTGATGGAGGAAACGAAACAGTAGCAGCCATTTGTATTGCAGCAACTGGGAAACCAGTTGCACATATTAACTGGGAAGGTGATCTTGGTGAAGTGGAGTCCACTACAACTTCCTTTCCAAATGAAACAGCCACAATTGTCAGCCAGTACAAGCTGTTTCCAACCAGATTTGCTAGAGGAAGGCGAATTACTTGTGTTGTAAAACATCCAGCCTTGGAAAAAGATATCCGATATTCTTTCATATTGGATATACAATGTAAGTAAATTGTGGTATTTGCTTTTTAAACATGATGCATTTTGTTCTTATTTTCTTTCTTTAAAATTATTCTGTATCAAACTGTTTAATTTTAATATATATTAATCAGAAATTCTTAGAGGTTTTCCTTACTGACATTCCCCCCCGCCCTTAATTTTAAAAAATAGATATTTTTGTGGAAATTTCATTTAACCAGAGCAGTTTTTATCAGTTTGTAAAGATGGACAATGATACTAAAGTTATTCTCTCACTTAGAATTATTTAGCTTTATCCTTTTTTAGACCTTAAAAATAAGGTGGGCTTAAGCAAATTGTGGAAATTTATACTCAAAATATAGAGAGGCAAACTTCTCCAATCAAATTATTTTATTTTATTTTAATTTATTGATTGATTAAGGTATCACATATTTATCCTCATCCCCCTTTCCCATCTCAAACCCTCCCCATGTATGCCTACCCCCTGTTGTCCATGACCACTGGTTAGGCTCATATGCTTGCACACAAATCCTTTGGTTGATCTCTCCCACTACCCCCACCCTCCCCTACCTTCCCTCTGAGGTCTGATAGTCTGATCTATGCTTCCTTGTCTCAGGGTCTGTTCTTGTTCATCACTCTATGTTGTTCATCATTTCCCCTAAATGAATGAGATCATGTGCTACTAGAAATATACTAATAAGAACCGAAAATGAGACAAGCAATAATGGTTATGCTGAGAGAGAAATGAATCAGTCTGTAGTGAGTTTCTTTCTGGGCCAACAGTTCTTTTGAGTCCCAATTTCAATGTCAAACAGTTCCTTATGTGTACATGTCAGCAATGATATTTCACTTCTGGATGGTGGACAAATGGTGGTAATGCAGATCCGACCCTCTCTGGTTTGGTCATGGGCAACCTGCAGGACGCACAGCTGCTGACTGTGCGTCGCTGCAGGTTGCTGATGGCAAGGCGTCATCAGTGTCTTCCATCTCTGGACTGTTTCTCTTCTGTCTTCATGGCTGGAGTAGTCCCATCAATTCCTCTCTGTTGCAGGAATCCAATCCCATTATTTTTAGCTATTATTCAATTTTATTGATGTGCCACCCATGATTACTTTTTTCTCAGCAAGTATCTTTTACTTCCTAAATATATTTAAATTATTTTGAAAAATCTATATTCTTTCAATATTCAAATCCAATTTTATTGATTGTGTAAGATTCTCATATAGGCAAAACCATATTTTAGACACATCATTGGGATAATAATCATTATAGATAAGCTTAAAGTTGGCCTATCTTGTATTTTTTGTTACGGGATACTCTGTTGTGTTTATATTTGTGTGAGTGTATGTAAACCTTTCCCTTTTATATTTTTGCATAGCATTTTAAAAGTTGAGCAAGAGAAAAACTGATGGTGCAGATCACTAAGAGCAAAGGAAATGAAAATTAAGCATATTAGAAATAAAATTTGGAGAAGTATTTAGATCCTATTGTTATTTCCTTCATTGAACGGATCATAAATGTAGATAGGTTTATGAAGTTCTGATTTTTGTGTGTTTTTTTATATTAATGCATGATATTTAAAATTAAACTTGATGTAATGGTTTCTAAGGCTAATTCTAAGGATTTTTTAAAAATGTTTTTAAGATTAAACTTGAGAAGATACCTTTGTGAATGTTATTACCATTATATTCTTAAATATGAGTACCTTGTCGCCTTACTTCTGAGGAGAATCCAATTAAATTTTCCCCCCTTTCTTATGTAACTTTCAGACTCTTTTTTCCTTTTTCTTGTAAAATTCAGATATTAATTGTAAGCACTATTGATATTTTTCTCAGGTATATTTTCCTTTTTTGTATCTAATCATAAATGAAATGTTCCTCAATTTGTATTATGTATATTATTTTTATTTGTTTAAATGCAATCATAAATATATAAATACATTTTTCTAGTATAAGGTATTATAATTTTTATTTAGATTTATTAGCATGCCCCTAAAATATTGGTAGAGTGCTTGTGGCTTTTTCCTATTAATGGGGACTTATAAAATATGTGAACAAAGTTTTAAGAAGATAAAATATTTTATCTAAAATTCATCTCTCAAAATCTGGAGGTAATCTTTGGGGATACCTTAGTATCTCTCCCCTCCTTTTAAAATAAATTAAATTTACAGATATCTATACTCTTCTTTCAGCAACTTTTTTAGTACCAATTTTAAGTTTCAAAAATGCTTGTTAATTCTTGGAATTTATAAGAGGCGGGAATTACTTTTTTAGAATTCTAAAGTAATTGTATCTTAGTGAAAATTTAATTTTTTACTACTTTTTTATAAACCTTGCTTGATAGTAGGTCAAGCTTTTCTGGCATAGTTAAAGACTAATGTAGTCTCTCTCTAACTTCTCATCTGACCATGTACTATTCATATAATTTAATGTGTAGCTCACAGAAACATGGAGGGGTCCCTATACCTTGTATTAGTTCCTTAAGGAAGTGTTTCACGACATCCCAATCTCATTCCGATCTATATTAAGCCCTTCCTCTTGTCTTCTCTCGTAGCATCCTATTATTTTCCATAATAGGTTTTAGGTAAATAGTTTTAAATGCCATGTCTCATTATTGAATTAAGAACTGAAATACATATGAAAATACATTTCAGTTCTTAATTCAATTTCAGTATATGAAAATTATTTATATATATATAATTTTGCTTTTGGTGATTATAGATTTGTGGATATTCTTTCATTCAGTGTTTATAATAATATCAGTTGTAAGTGCTTATAATTGCTTAATGTTTGGGTACTCACTGTTCATTTATTTACTCATTTGGTCAACTAATATTTATTGAGTACTGTCTTCTACATTGGTTATGTGTCCATTGAGAAAAGAAAAATTTATTTCTATTCTTCTAAAGTTTAATTTACTATGTTTATGCTTTACCATTTTATATTGTATTTATCATTAACATAAAACAATCTGTTCTGTCATAAATTTATTTTATAGATGCTCCCGAAGTTTCAGTAACTGGCTATGATGGAAATTGGTTTGTAGGAAGAAGAGGTGTTAATCTCAAGTGTAATGCTGATGCAAATCCACCACCCTTCAAATCTGTGTGGAGCAGGTAATAATGTTAGATACTTCTAAAATTATTTAAAAATGAAAAGAATTTTTAAGTGCTTAAAGTTGAAAATCAGTGTAATACATGATTATTTTAATAGGTGAAAATTAAATTAAATGAAGGGGTTTAAATGTTCTATTGCACCTTTCCCCACCTTCCTACCAACCACAGTTCTCTTCCTCAGAGGCTACTTTAGCAGTTCCTCAGGTAGTTACCATTATAGGTCTTAAATTGCTCCTTCTTCATTTAGTCATTTTTAATGCTACCGACTCACTTCTTATTATGGTAGATGAAAATTTAATTTTATATCTATTTCTTCACACATGCATATACCCATATACATATTCCTACCTTTTGTAATCCCAATGAGATTAAGTTTACTTTTTTCAAATGTATTTTTATTGATTTCGGAGAGAATGGGAGAGGAAGAAAGAAAAACATCAATGATGAGAGAGAATCATTGATTGGCTGCTTCCTGCATGCCCCCTATTGGGATCAAGCCTCCAACCCAGGCATGTGCCCTTGACCAAAATCAAAACCAGGACCTTTCAGTTCACAGGCCTATGCTGTAGCTATTGAACCAAACTGGCTAGGGCAAGATTAAGTTACTTTTAGTGGAATTTTGTAATCGTTGTTTACCTCTCTGTGACAGGTAAATATTATTTAGTGAGGGCTAAGCAGTGTATTGGAATTCTATTTTCTTTTGTGTAAGCTATTTTCCCTGAAGCTAGTAATTGGCTTGTTTTTACTTGTGTAGCTTACTATATCCATAATTCTCCTTAATTATGAAATTTCAACTATTACAATAAGATTTTCATTCATATTTCTCAATATATAGGCACCTTTTCAATCTAGAGAGTTGTATTTTTCAACTGTGGATATTTTTTTTTGTTCATTTCTCCTTTTTATTTTCTGTTTGCTCTTACTGAAACTTCTACTTATTATATACTGAATACACTTTATTATTTTTCAAATTTTATTCTCTGTAAGAGACTTAACTTGATTTCCCCCCTCTCTTTCCCTTCTATCCCCATTAAGAAAATAATTGAGGCATACTTTTATTTTCTAAGAGCATTTTCTTATACTCTGCTCATTTTCATAGCATACTTTTCTTAGTTTATGGGTATACTATCTTCTAATTTTTTCCCAGGGATACTAGAGTTCTTTCCTCTGCAGACTTCTTTTTTTCTACCTATTTCCTACTATTTCTTAGTATTTCTTGATTTTGTTTTCCTACTATTTCTTTGTTTTGTTTTCTGTCTTTCATTTTGTAGATATTACTTAATTTTCTCAGTTGTTTAATTATTTTACAGAGATGCATTAAGTTAAAATGCTGATCAGAAACACTCCCCATAGAAGGGATTACTCGTTAGGTAGATTTCACTCAGAGTGATCAAGTAGAGAGGTGTTTATTTCCTTGGGGGAGCTTCTGATGTCACCCACGGAAAGGTGAAAATCCTTTTTTATGGCCATTCAGTTTATTTATTGAATTAACCTTCTTTCTTTTACCTAAACATAAATGCCTGGCATCTGCACCGAGTTGGGCGCAATCTATTGTTTTGTTTTTTTTCAACTTTCAATTAATGTTTTTATCTCTAAGTCTCTTGCCTCACTCTGGCCTTCTGTAGTACAGTGAGCCAAGCTCCAAATCTGTTTGGAGTTTTTTTGGACCAAATTGGCTGCTTGGTCATCCATAAGCACTTCTTTAGCCCAAAACAGAGCTTTTCAACCTGGTGCTGTTGATATTTTGGGCTAGATTAATCTTTTTTGTGTGTGGGAGTCCGACCTATAAATTGTAGGGTGTTTAGAGCATCCTTGAGCCAGTATCACCTCATCTCCCCACCTCCTCCTTTCCTCCCACCCCAGTTGCTGCAACCAAAAATATTTCATCATTTGTTTTCTGTCTCCTAAAAGTTTGTTGAAATATCTTATCTGATGAATTCTGTCTCCTGTTCTCTTTCTTCTCATAGGTTTTTAATAGCTTTAATTCATTTAACTCTTGTTTTAGGTGGGATTTTTGTGAGAGCAAGGAAAGAGTATATTTGGTCTATCTGTTGCCTTTAAGCAAATAAGCAGTTTTAAATGTAGGGAAGGCCTTTTAATTTACATTTCCTTAAAAGTGGGAAGCAGTCATTGGTTAAAATATGTAATCAAGTATTTCTAAAAGTGATACAATTCTGGATTCTTATCCTAATATCTTTATTTGGAAATGTCTGTTTTTGATGAAGTTATAATAGTACTTCTATAGTTTTTGTGAGGGTAGAGACAATGAATATAAATAATATAACAGGTACAAGAGCATAGAAGGTGTTTAGAATGTCATTTGTTACGAGTCCAATGTGATATTTAGATTTTTCTTAGTGTGGTTCATATGAATAAGTAATTTAAAGGATCATAAAACATTTTTATATTTTTCAGAATTAAAGGGATTTGAATTTTGTGTCCAAAGTAGAGATAGTTGTAAAAATAGATATAGTTTATATTTATTCTTTTCTTCTTAGTAAAAGAGTTTTCTTTTTAAGCTGTTATTTATAAAAATGTTCTTTCCAAAGTTCTCTTATGTTGGTAGTTTTTGTTTCGTCAACCATTAGATTGCTCTTATTTTTCATTGCTAAATTAAAATACTGGCAACTGTAAAAGATTTACAGATTATTCTTCCATCTACTACCCTATGGATCACAGAATGAAATCATCCCTCCTATTATTTTCCAGTGTTGATTTGCTCCATTCTACCTTTTTATTCTTTGTTTTTATTTTCATTGTAATTAGTGGTTGGTCTCCTATGTATTTAGGTCATTGAAAGAAAGCATCAGATATTTAGTTTTGCATCTCAGCAACACAGCAGAGGACAGTAAGGTAAATAGTGGAAGGCTGAGTGAGGAAGTGAATGAACTTTTTGAAAATCTGCCTAACTCAAACTATAGTAATTGGGTTTACTTGACTTTTTAATCTCTTATCTTAAAAAAATAATAATAATAATTTATGCATTTAGAACCAGTTTCAAAAGAAAAACCTATTGATGGGGAGTTTTATTTTGTACCCCAAAGTTGGAAAAATGATATGTAATAATATGCTTAGTTCCATTGTAATGAATGGCTTTAGTGTTCTTATAGTGGAATTTTATTCCCATTGTGATTTATGGTAACATACTAGATAGGACTAACTGAGTTAGTGTAGGCACCATTGGTTTTCACTGTCACAAACGTCCAACTTACAAATGAAATTATTTTATTAGAAAACCCTTCTTGGTGGTTTAAAAACTAACTGTCTTTGTGTATTATTTGTTGTTGTTAATCTTCATACAAGGATATTTTTTCCCATTGCTTTTTTTAGAGAGAGTGAAAGGGAGAGCTAAGGTGGGGGAAAGATAGAAACATTTATGTGAAAGAGACACATCGATTGGTTGCCTCATGCAAGCACCCCAACCAGGACCAGAAATTGAACCTGTGACCTTTCAGTGTGTGGGCCGGAACTCTAACCACTGACAAACACCAGCCATGGCCAAAAACTAACCATCTTTAGATGGAGCATAGCACAGATTTGTTCTGCATTAAATGATGATTTTAAATATGTTACAGAAAGTGCTAAACACATCATGTACTTAAATGAGATAATGAAAATTATAGATGAAAGAATTCTTAATGAACTTTATTAGTTCAACTTTATTAAATTAAAAGTTCATAATTTAGTACATGCTTCATTTTACAGTGACTTTTACACATAGGATTCTGGTTCTTTCACTAACATCTTAAAAGTTAAACAGCTATTAATAAGTAGAGACTAAAGATAAATAAAATATTTTTATGCTTTTTCAAATCTAGGTTGGACGGACAGTGGCCTGATGGCTTATTGGCTTCAGACAATACTCTTCATTTTGTCCATCCACTGACTTTCAATTATTCTGGTGTTTATGTCTGTAAAGTCACCAATTCCCTTGGTCAAAGAAGTGATCAAAAGGTCATCTACATTTCAGGTAAGTTAATATCTACTTACAAAATGGGTTGCTTGAATTATTCCTATTTTGACAATCATAACAATAATACTATAATCATGGTGGTAACTTATACTTGTGAAGATATAGATTCCTCAATCTGTGATTTTCCAAATAATCTAAAAATATAATAAAGTAATCCTATCTGAAATACACGTGCAAAGTGGCATTCCTTAAAGAAATATCAAAATGTTTATGCAACAACTTTAAGACCTAAATAGTTAAATTTACAGTTCAGTTGTATTAATTTATTACTTTCATAAGCAGTGTGTGCCTTTCTATGTTTTTTACACCAAGAACAAGCACTGGGATTTTTTTGTCTTGGGTTGGATACTCTGCACAAATATATGGTAAATAAAGTAGAATATCAACTTTGATGACCTGGCTTGTCAAATAACATTGTCACTCAGTAGGTTACTATTGCCATATTGGTTACTGAAAGGTAAAGTAGGAATACTACTGAAAATGTTATAATGAGTTAAGTTTTAGATTTTTATTTTATTTTTATTTTTAGTCTTTAAGCTACTAAGAATTTAAATATTTCACATTCCATTTGTTTTGCTGTGAAAGTTCTTGTTAATTTGACAGTATAAATTTGAATATTCACAAAATACAGTTAGAGTTAAAAGCATTGTTTTCTGGGTGAGGCTATAAGTAATAAATTGTCAATGGAATTCTTATTTATACCAATTATGTAAACTATTTTGAACATCTCTTGATTGACTATAAGAATCAGCAGTCTTTATGCCTAATACATGGAAAATTAAAGACAAAAGGAAGAGAACCTTGAGAAATGCAGGTTTGTATGGTAATTCTATAATAGGTAGTTAGGATATTCATTTCTGCTCAAATCTAAAACTAAATCAATTAAAGATTATAGAGAAATTTTAAGTTTGCTTTTATGTTATATTCTCAGTCCTCGTATGATGATCACTCAATCTAAGAAAAGTTTCCCATATTTCTCATCACAATTTGTAATTGTATGTTCATTTATTTACTTGCCTAGCCTCACATTTAAACAATTTGTGTTCACTTAATTTACCACTTAGTTAATGCCTGACATATGATAGGGGCTCTTTTTTTTTTTTTTTATGAATCTCACAAGAAGTTTAGAGCTCTGTACATCCCTACCTCTCCCTTTCTTCCAGTAACAGTGCTGTGGTGGAAATCTGAGTAAGATTAAATATTACTATACTAGTCTCTCTTTCTTCCCTTAGAAAATTAAAAAACACAAGAATCTTAAAGCCACAGGAAATATATATTTAAAATGTACTTATTTAAGGACTACTTACTTTTTTGTGTGTTGTGCAAAATTTGGTGTGAGATATTACTTGTAAATCTTAGACTCAATGTTTTATGATTATGTAATAATTTAAATATTAGGGCTCAATTTGGGAAATTTTAAATATACTGATTACATTGGTGATAATCCTAAATTAATATATTTTGGCATTCTGGATCTACTTCCTACTACTTCTGACTTTTGTGTCAGGAGTATTATTATTAATGGTTATTAACCCACTGTAGAAGTATAAATAGACATAATTTAACATTCAAAATTAGGGTCCTGATCTTTCTCCTGCCCTTTGCCACCAAATCTTTTCCTCCCTTATTGGTTGCTCTTTCCCTCTTGTTTGAGGATATAATCCTTGATACTTACCTTATAATTTGGCTTTTTTCTTATACCCTATTCAGTCCATCAACAAATCGATACCAGCTTTCCCATTCTATTATATACAGAACCTTACCACTTCTCCACTACTACTTCAAAAATTCTGGTCCAAGCCATCAGCAACTCTTATACTTAACTATTAGAACAACCATTTAATTGTTCTACTTTTAATCTCTTATCAAATGAGCAGCCAGAATGATGTTTTTAAAGGATATGTCAGATTATGCCACTTCTCTCTTTTAAACTTTCCTCTCTTTTAAACTTTCCATTCTCACTTCCTTTAAGTCTTTATCAAATATCACCTTTACAATTGTATTTAAAATAGAAACCTCTCTCTTCTTGCCTCTACTAGTTGCTGTCTTCCTTTTCTGACTTATTTTTCTTTACTGTACTTATTGCCATGTGACATACTACATATTTTATTTTATTTATATACTTGTCTCTTATTACTCCAACTAGAACATAAGTCCTAAGAGGGCAGGATTTTTGCCTGCTATAATTACTACTACATTCTCATCATCAGCAATAATAATGATGATAATAATGCTTATTAGCACATAGTAGGTGTTCAGTGAACTTTTGTTGCATAAATGGATAAATTTGAGAAGGAAGCAATCAGGAAAGATTTAAAAATTCAGAATCTATGTAACTTCTTTTTTTTTACAAAGTAACTGGTAATAACACATTTTTTTTTTTATCATTCTCTACTAAGTCTCCCTAAGAGTAAATATGAAAAATCACAGGCTTTTTTCTTTTTACCACTAAGAACTTAAGAAAAAGATAGCATAGTTTTCTTCAAGAAATGGACTTTATTTTTTTTCCACAGTGCTTAATAAAATACATTATTCTGAGTTTATTTAAATATTCGAAGAGCTTCTTAGGAGTATATCAAGTATCCTACATAAAATGTTGCCTTTCCAAATGACTAATAAAGCTTAATAGGCTTTTATTAGAATAAAAGGTCATAATTCACACAGAGTACATAATCAAACAGTTAATCTTTTTCATTGGAACTTTTTTTTAACCTCAGTATTAAAATTGGTATTTATAATTTTCAGAAATGATTAAAAATATCTGTTAAGGAATGTCTTATGACTGAAGACTAAAAGTTCTACTCAGAACAAATAGCAACCCAATTATGTTGTTCATAATTTTATTATACGTTTCCTACATGGGTAAACATAAAATTTTGGACAAGAGGTGATTGATTCAAGACTGCAGTATGTGACCAGTTCTTACTCTTGGGAATATAATGGCTCTTTGTCCAGTATGTGTTTTTTTGTTGCTTTTGCTCTGTGTTTTTTCCTTGATACCTCTTACTGCTCTCTAAGAATAGGGAAGCAAATTTTTATATATCACATAAGTTCTCCCCTGCCTAAAACTCAAAGTACATTTCTATGCAAATTTTGAATTTCAAATCATACTGATTTTAGGATCCAGACATGTTATCAGTCTTAGAATCCACACATTCTTAGCAACCCTTAAACTTTAAGAATCATAGATTTTGTTTACTTAAAGAATTCATATAAAGTCTAAAATAAAAAGTAATCAATTTAATGTTTAACATAGTAATTAGTATGCTAAAATATACTTTATAACTACAAGAGTCTTACTGGATTTTCCCACTCAATTTGGCAGAACTCATTAATTTGAAAAAGAAATTTAAGAAGCTCTTCATTTAGGTGTGAAGAACTCACTGTATAGTTCCATTGCATTTGTTATATCCTCATTTATCACACATTCAGCAAGTAATATAAAAAAAAATGTCTGACTGATGCCAGGACCAGTTTGGCTCAGTGGATAGAGAGTCGGCCTGCGGACTGAAAAGTCCCGGGTTCGATTTCGGGTAAGGGCATGTACCTTGGTTGTGGGCACATCCCCAGTAGGGTATGTGCAAGAGGCAGCTGATCGATGATTCTTTCTCATCAATGTTTCTAACTTTCTATCCCTCTCTCTTCATCGCTGTGAAAAATCAATAAAATATATATTTTTTAAAAATGTCTGACTGAAAAAAACAAATGCTGTTGTGAAGGATATTAAATAATGATAAATAAGTACCTATTGGTGATTACAAAATACTAGTCATTTTTTCTCCTTACATTAATTATGACTTTCACTTATTGTGGAGGAGGGAAAAAACTTAAAAATAAGAATAGCTATTGTATGCATTGCCATATGTCTATTGCTTAAAAATGCAAAATAATAAAGTATAAATACTAGTCCCGTTTTCATAGTCAGGGACTATTAATAGTCAGGGTATGCTATTTTTAACTTTGGTTAAGGAGGGGATGGTAAACTAAAAAAATTTTAGAACCACTGACAAAATTAAGTAAGATTTTTTAATTGGCATTTTGGGGGTACTTTTTAAAGTTAGATTTATCTGAAAGCTGTAAAGAACAGCTTTCACATAACATTGCAAGTAGAAATAGTAAATGTCAGAGATTGTTGGGTTTTTTTAGGACACTTGGCAAAAATGTTATTATATATCTTATATTTGGTGAGAGCTCAGGTATAGGCATTGTTCTGTAAAAATAGTATTTCAGTAAGAGCCATCAAAAACTTTAAAAAATTTCTGTGCACAAAAATTTGTAAATTGTAAATAATTACTTAGGTGATTGTACTTTTATTTAAATATGCTGTGCCAGTTTATTGTAATACTTAATCTTTGGGAATCGTTGTAAAAATGACATTTAATACTTAAAACTTGACTTTTTTATTAGCCCTCCCTCAGAAAATACATGAGTTGTCTTACAAATTATAATTTTTAATTTCTTTCTTTAATAGCCTGATTCTAATGAATTTGGTTTTATAATGCTTTACTACTTTAATACTAGAAATAGTCCTGCAGCCAAAACCAGCTTGGCTCAGTGGATAGAGCGTTGGCCTGCGAACTGAAAGGTCCCCAGTTCGATTCCAGTCAAGGCCACGTACCTTGGTTGCGGGCACATCCACAGTGTGGGTGTGTGCAAGAGGCAGCTGGTTGATGACTCTCTCTCATCGACGTTTCTAACTAACTCAATTCCTCCCTGTATAAAATCAATAAAATATATAAAATAAAAAAAAAGAAAGAAAGAAATGGTCCTGCAATTCCACAATAGTGTTGTTGTTGTTTTTAATTGAGTTAGTGAATTTGTTCAGTTAGTGAATATGTTCTCACAAATTAAAACTCTTCCTTGATTCACTTACATATAATATAACTATTATCCAATTCAAGGTACTTAACAGGATTGCCTGTTCTATTGGTTTACACTCATAGGAAATTACTTATATTGTACTTATTAAATTTATACTGTACTTGCTAAATTTTTAC